CACTAGGAAAAAGAGAGGGCCCAGGGGGAGTTTTTTGCCCAAGGGGCCCCCTCTCTAGTTATAACCTAATTTGTTGTGCGTATGTGGATTACGTGAGTGGAATTTAGCCTCCTGAGGTATTAGGTTAGATTGTTTCAAATGTGTGGAGACTCCCAGAAATGGAAGTTATTGCGTTTTCCCACAATGCTCTGTGGTTAATGTGAGGTTTGAGGTAGAGAGATTGACACCTGTTGCCATAAGGCCAGGTCTGTTTCCTCTTTTCCTTATTGGGGTTGCACATGAAGGCTCTGCAGTTCTGGAATTGAGGTTTGTGTTTTGATAAAGACAGTTCTAAGGTAGAAGACCAGGGAAATGGAAGCTAGTTGTCAAGGAAGAAGCTTCTACAGCCAGTCAGGCCTTCCTGCTGGGGTTCATTCTAGGAATTTACATTCATTTGCATGTGGCAGACTGTGTAAATAAACCATAGGAGAACCTCAGCGAGCTACCAGGAGTGTAAAAAGGTGCCAGGCAAGAGCTTTCTGGCAAGAAGAAGGTATTATATGCAAGGTGAAAAATGAACCCAACATATAGAACTGAAATGAACTCCGAAATACAAGAAGTAGGTATAAACGCCATTTGAAAGGGTTTCCTGAAGGAGTCAGGCCAAACACTGTTTTTCATGCTTTATAGGGGTTTAACTGTCTTGACTGAATGTGACTCGTGGTCAGAAGGCTAAATACGTCCCTTCCACGCATCCTTAGTATGTTTGTACCTGCAGCACGATCTGCTGCATGGTTTGCTGAATTTCAAGAAAAGTTTAAGAACAGGCTGGGGGTATAGTTAGAGCTGCAAAGTGCCTGTTGAGCAGGCTTGAGGCCCTGGGTTCAAACCCAGCAACTCCCCCTACTAAACAACAAACAAACAAATCGTCTTGGGGTTGAAGCTAATTAGTAGAAATGTCTAAGATGAGCAAGAAGATCAGGACTTCTGGGGCCTTTGCATGAGGAGCTAGTAAAATGACAATTTCAATGTGTACACTGAAACTCAACTCCTGCTTCTTCAGAATGCAAATAGACCTAGGGCCTTTAAAGAGACAACTGTTTTGAAATGCAGCCATTTGAGTGGGCCCCAATCCAATCAGACTGGTTATCTTACAAGAAGTTTGGCTGGGTGTGGTGGTGCATGCCTCGAATCTCAGCAGTTGGAAGGAAGATACTTGGGTAGCTCGCTGCCATCTGGGCCAAATGATGATCTGGAGGCAGGCCTGCTGGTTACCTAAGGAGACCCTGTTCAACAGGAACAGAGAGCTAGAGGGAGGAAGCAGATGCATGCCCAGAGAGATGACCCTGAGCACTGGGTAAGAGGATGGAGGCAGAGCGGAAGGAAGCACAGCTTTCCACACGGAGATCTCGGGCTTTAGCCTCCGTAAGTTGAAAACCAGCCCCTGTTATTTAGGCATCAGTCTGGCGTTTTGGCGGCTGTCATTATGGACTAACACAGACAGAACAGATGAGATACAATAATGACCTGAAATTTAATTTCTAGACCTGTGGGGTCTAGAAAAGGTTGTGAGCATCTCAGGGTACTCCTAAGATTCATGTTTCTTAAAGTCTACAAACCATCAAGAAAAGTTTCAAGAAAACTATCAACCTCAGAATCTCCTGTCGTAGTTTTTTGTTTGCATGTTTGGTTTTTGAGGCGGGGGTCTCTCTGTCCATAGCCTTGGCTGTCTGGGACTCACTAAATAGTCCAGGCTGGCCTCTAACTCAGAGTTCCACCAGCCTCTGCCTCTGAGTACTAGAACTAAATAAAGATGTCTTCCATCATGCCCAACCTTCCTATACTACTTTGGAAATGCAGGCCCCAGGACCTTGTGTTACAGTGCTCCTCTGTGAATCTGGGCTCCCACTCTGGGCTCCCACTGGGGTGAAATGTCCCAAAGGATACTTTGATAAGGCAAAGCCTAAGTCCCACTGCTTGGCTAGCGAGGGTGAATTCATCATCTCAAGGGCTGGTGTGTCCGTGTTCAAGCAGATGTCAGTGGGTACCACAGCACGTGGGAAGCCTGAGATAGGGTGTGTTATTCTTTTGACCCTTTAAGGGGCAAGCCATGCCCACTCCCGGGGACCCCCACTCCCACCCCTGCCTGTCATCTTGGACTCTTACTTTTACTGTTCTCCTCTTGGGGTTGTGCACATCTCCCCGTTTCCCCCTCTCTCTCTCTTTCTCTGTCTCTCTTTCTCTGTCTCTCTCTCTCCCCCTGCCCTCCCTTTCCCCTTCCCCTCCATAACCCTCTGAATAAATATTTCAATCTCACTTTACATGTTGTGTCTGTCCACATCTCTGTCTCCTGCCGGCCTGTGGAACTGACCGGGAATCTTGGGCAGGCTGCTTGGGAACTGCCCGGGGATTTTTTTAAATCATAAAATTAGTGCTGTGAACACATGGGATCCTTGAAGGAATTTACATTTGATTCTGGAAATACATTCCTCACCCATCTTCCTTAAGAATATAATGTCACAATTTGAATGGTCATCTTCAGTACACGTTACTACACTTCTCTGCTTAGGTTTATATTTAAAGGTCCAGTATCTTGGTGCCTAAATTGACCAAGGGAGAACAGGAACTGAATGAGCATATCAAACTTTCCTACTGCTAGTCAGTTCTTTATTGTTGTGCTGCTTCTTCATCTTCCTCCTCCTCCTCCTTCTTTTGTGATACAGGGTTTCTGTTTGACAGTCCTGGCCATCCTGGAACTCGCTCTGTAGACGAGGCTGGCCTCAAACTCACAGAGATCCACCTGCTTCTGCCTCCTACGTGCTGGGATTAAGGCGTGCGCCACCACCGCCTGGCTGTTGTGCTGTAATCATACCCTGGGCCTTGAAAATGCTACATTCCTACCACGCCCTGTACTGTAAAATATATTTGGGAAATAGATAAATGATAATAATAGCTTAAATGTTAACCATACATAGAAAGGATAAACATTCCACAAGGTCCTGTGCTGAATGGGAATAAAGATATTTCCTTATGGCATACAGCAACTTTCCCTACTTTCATCAGGACAAGGTCTGAGTATGCAGCACCGGCTGGCCCAGGACTCCTGGGTCTCCTGCTGTATAGCCGCTCCAGAGCTGGGATTACAGATGCTACACTGGGCTTCTACATTTTCAAAGCAGACAAAATAAGTGATACTCCTTCAAGTATGGCAGTTCCTTAGAGATGTGAAAACTGTCATCCTAGCTGGGCATTGTAGTTCAAACCTATAATCCCAACACTGGGGAGACCGAGGCAGGCAGACTGCTTTGTGCTGTAGGCCCGCCTGAGCTATGTTATGAGTTCCAGATCAGCCGGGACACTGAAAGAAGGCCTGGTTTTAAGAAACTGCCACCCTACTCATAAGGCTTTATTGATTTCTAGACAGGGCCTCACTCTGTAACCTAGAGTGTCCCGGAACTTGTGTAGGAACTCATTCTGTATCCCAGGCTGGCCTCCAGCTCAAGGCAAAACTCCTGCCTCAGCCCCTCAAGGGCTGAGATTACAGACATGAGCTACCACACCCAAGAAGAGACGCTAGGCCAGGTCTGCTGGGTCCGTAAGGACTCTTGGTTTTGGTGGTTTGTTTTGTTTGAAAACAGAGCTTTGGGCATGCTATCTGTTTTTCTGATGGAGTCGAGCCTTTGAACCCAACTCAGCTGAACTTCAAGTACTGACCAGGCCTGGTTAGGAGCTCCCTTGGCCATGAGATTCAGTATCAGGCCCACGGCTAATTGTTTTTTCTTCCTAGATTAACCCAGTTCAGTTTCTGTGTGCAGACCACTCAGTTCTCACAGGGTCCTGTCCCCACCGTGTGTGTGTGTGTGTGTGTGTGTGTGTGTGTGTGTGTGTGTGTGTGTGTGTGTGTGTAGTGGGACTGAAAATCTTGTCATTCAGGTTTTAGGTTCTCACTGAGTCCTGTTCTCCACCGTGTGTTTGTGTGTGTGTGTGTGTGTGAGAGAGAGAGTGTATGTGTGTGTGTGTGTGTGTGTGTAGCGGAACTGAAAATCGTCATTCAGGTTTTAGGTTCTCACTGAGTCCTGTCCCCACCGTGTGTGTGTGTGTGTGTGTGTGTGTGTGCGCGCGCACGCGCGCGCAGCGGAACTGAAAATCCTGTCATTCAGGTTCTAGGTGCTTTCCAGAAACAAGAATTCTGGCACTTAAAGGAATTGATTTAAAACGCTAGACCGTAATACCTTGGGGAGGGAGGTTCAGACGAAAAGCCCTGAGTGCAAGCGGGTTTCTTGAGGAATGAAAAGGAGTGCGCGTGCCAGCCCGGGCAGCGAAGGAGATTCAACAATGCAGCGCGGCCCGTTAGGCTGAGAGGGGGTCCGGGGGGCCGGTGCGCTGGCTTGGCAGGAGGGCCGGCCCTTTCCTGACCTTCCGTGCGGGCGGCGTTTGTCCGACTCCGGGGCTCGGCGAGCTCCGGGCCTAGGCCGGGCGG